GGTGCCTGGATATCCAAACTGATGTTTAATTTCAAATGTTCCAGCAAGAATTGAAATGGCCTGAAATTTGATGGATCATCGGATTGTTCCGGTTTTGGAAGTGGTACAATTTTTGATAATTTCAAAAAATCTGCTAGTTTATTATTATTGATTTAGTTAAAGGATGTACTATCAAGTTACAATGACCCCGTTTAGCCGGCCGGGAGCGGACTGGCCCTCACGCAACATTGCTAAGTTTTGAACATCACGTAAAAAACTTGTTTGTTGAGTCAGCATACTTGTCTCCATTCTGTATCGTGCGGATTGTTTTGCCCCTGTTCGACGTACTCCGAAGTCGGAGTTTGATATAATTATTTCTCTTAGCTGACGATGCGCCGAGGTACCGGTGCAAAACGATAAGTTTAACTGCAGGTAAACTTCACGTAATCAATATCCAATTAAGCGCGCAAATAGTGCGACGAAAACGGATTAAATTCGCCTGTTTGTGTTGTACATTACCGCGTTCTAGGGACTTAGCTGTAGTGATGTCGTTGCGTTTAAATATAGATGGAAAACGAAACGTGCTTGTAAAACTCTTCAGTGGCAAATCTGAGATTCATAAGCATGAGCAACTTATCCATTATACTTCAAGAGACTTAATGCACTTTCAGATATCCTCAGAAATAAGAATTTGTTGAAACTGATTGATAATGAAAACGTTTACGACTTTTTGAACCTAGATGAAAGTTGGTACGTGCAAGATCCAGATTCGAGACAAGAAATTGAAAAACCAGTTGAAATGCAAGAACCTTCCGAAGATTCTGATGTCGATGAGGCTCCAGTACAAACACAAGCTATTCCCAACTATGGTAAAGCTATTAGCTTGACCAAGCAGCTCAAAAAGACACAAAATGGTTGTATTTTATTTGTAATGCACCTGCTCGTATTCAAAATTTTGTTACTATAAATATAATATAATAATAATAATAAATGGCCTTTATTTTACCTGGCGGGTTACATCAGCACAAGCTGTTTTTCAGAACCAACCAGGGCTAAAAAAAAAATTCAAGTACATGCAAATACAACAAAAGTACACTGAAGATAACATTTAAAGCAGAAAAATTTTTTTTTACAGAATCGTAGCATGGTATAATGACCAAAAGACCAAAAGAGAAACGTGCAGCAACAGAGTACGTAACAGAATCAAAAACCGTGATTAGAAGTAACTTTCAAAAAAGAAAATATTAGGTATATGGCGGAAGATATAAAAATTAAAAGTAAACAGTAACAAATGTGTAAGCAAAACACAAACAAATGAAAAGTGACGAGTGAGAAAACATGCACAAATAAACAAATATAAAAATAAAATTACATGAAAATACATGCTAGATGAAATCAAAAAAAAATACATGCTACATGTCATCAAAGACAAAGAGCCTAACTTTTCTTTTAAAGCTGGACACAGATAAAGTGATATGCTTCTATTGACTGAGATATTATTTAAATTTTACAATTTTATTGTTTATTTGCATACAGGTTTATATCTATTGTCTTTATTGTTTTGTGGGTGATTCTAAAAAAAGTGGGTAAGTCAATGTCATCAATCAATAGATAAGAGGTTTTATTAAATTTTGTTTATATTTAATTTTATACTAGAACATCTTAAGGTCTTTTATTTAGTCGCCCAATTGCAGTCATTTATTTTGAATATAAGTTTATGAAAAAATACAAAAATATCCTCAAAACCTCAGTCCTTTGGCATGTCACAATCAAGTGGCCGTCTATTGAACATTACCATTAATTTAAGAAAAGTTGCTATTTCACTACAATCTGAGATGTACTTAATAATGTATAGTATAACTTTCATAATATAATATTCTCACCGCTAGTTATAAAAAATTAAAAAAAATTGTGTTTATTTCCATTCGTCAGTCCGTTGAGTCTTGTTCAAATAAAAAATTCTCGCCAAATATCGCCGACTAGAGATTGCATCTGACAGCTACCCATGCTAAGCCAGAGCTAGAGTCGTGATTGCTGTGAACACACTTGCCGATCCGGTCAAAATATCAGTACGAAAAGAAACATTAGTTCGAATTATGTTATAATCTCGAAATAAGGTCATTTTTGCGAGTAATTAAAATTTGTCTAATACTGCGTCAATGGACTGATGGGCTTCCACGATACTGATTCTTTTTTTTTACTTACTTATTACAGTTTAAACCTTCTAAAAAAACAGAATTTGTCTAAAGAATATACAGGGTGACTTCGAAGTTGAGTCATTTATTTTAACAGTAAGTAGATCTGATCAAAAGAAATGTTTTTTTCCTTTACCATTTTTCTGGTAAAATTAAAGTAACAAAGTTATAGCCCTTTGGAAGTTTGAGTACCGCCCTGTCTCAATAATAATATTATGTGCTCGTGTTTGGCGACAACGGATATAATCCGCCTTACCGGTTCATCGTATCGGAAACAAAAAAGCGAAAGAATTTGGAACGATGTTTTTACAATTATTTCATTCAGGTGTATACAGTCAGTGTCAGTCGGTAGTGAATAGTGGTGTAACTGTTGCGTGGCTCAAACGAAATAAAAAATGGCACATGTTTATGCGGATCGGTTTCCCAATCGAGTGCAACCAACCCCTCGTGCCTTTGTTAATGTAGTACAACGGGTTCGTGAATCAGGTGACTTAAGACCTCACATATGGACGGCATGCCGGTGCTCCAAGACCTCACGATCAAATACAGGTCCGCACTGAAATACTTGTCGGGAGGATACTTTATAAAACAAGGTAAACATTTTTTTTTATTTTTTTTAATTTTTACACACATATTTTGGTTTATCTTCCTTCTACAATCATTATCTGAAAATTAATGACTCAACTTCAAAGTCACCCTGTATAATAAAGAAGAAAAGAAAAGCCAGATTAAAATCGACTGCATTAAATAAGCTAAATGCAAAGAAAAACAAAGGTCACCATGCTTGAAAAAGAAGAAAGGACAACTAGAAAAAGTGGAAAAGATCAAGATACAGACAAAAAAGCTACTCTTCAAACAAACTCTTAATTTTGTACATCAGAACACTACTCTAAATACTGAGAACGAAATACAACCAGTACCTGAAGAAAATAGACCTATTGTTAGCGCAGACCAAAGAGCGAAAGAAGCAGAAAAGAGTAAGTCCAGAAGTAAACAATTAAAAAAACTCAGAACTCAACATCCTCCAGACACATACCACGACACATTTCAAAAAAAATCATCCTAATTTATCTGCATCTTATTATACAATAAATTACCACCTGAAATACAGAAAATTAGTAATTATTTTCGATTCAAAAACCAAGTTAAAAAAATTATTAGCATCAAATGCATGTTATAACATAAGTGAATATATGGAATGTACAACCTTGACTACTTAAAGATGGAATTGAATATTTATATGAATTGTTATATTTATATTAATTTTACTTATATTTTACTAATATTATGTAGCTTATTTCATTTTATTTATTTATTTTTTCATCACAAGTACTATTCTGTATCTAAGTGGTTAATAATAAAGAATGAAGAACTAAATTCTCATCCTCAAAAATATAGACGAGTTGAAAAGCAGTTAAAGAGAATTATAAAATCTGTAGAAAAATCGCAAAAAAAACAAAATTGAAATGAGTAAAGTTATAATTCAAAAGGAGGAATTAGTGAAGAAGGCGAAGTTATTAAAATTCAATTAGAAGAATACTACAGTAAAAGAAAAATCACCAGATCGGTGCAAGATCAACATAGGTACATTTTGCTGGAGCTGGTTTATTTAATACTTAGTTATTAGTATTCCGCTTGTGGAAAAAAGTCAAAGGTGGACTAGTTCTTAGGCTTCGCCTCACCACCACTTTTACCTCGACACTAAAACAAAAAGTTATAAAGAAAACAGAAACAGCTCAAACAAACTATATCTTGAAATATAATAGACAAAAACAAACTGTGGTGAATACAAAACAGAGCAGTGACTTAATAAAAGACTGGATATAAGCTTGCAAAAAAAAATAGTCAGAGTGCAACGTTTGGTTTTGGCAATTTTGATAAGACGATGCTAACAGTCGTCAGGCAGCTGGAAAGAAAGAATGAGTGTCTTATAATATGTAATATTATGCATATATTTGCTGGATGGTATGAAAAATCTTTGTGTAAAGTTTTTGAATACTGTGAGCAGATATTCCCTATTTACTTATTGTTAATAGATACTATAGTTATAACACGTGCAGTTATTAGATTCGAAGGTAAATGATCAAAGTTCTAATAAATCCATATGTTTTCTATGAAATTGCGTATTTTTTCAGTCCTATGTTATTTTCGTCAGTACTCTGACGGTCACATTCAGAAAAATCGAAATATCTCAAAATCTACTCATAAAAGTGACTGGCTCTGTTTGGAACAATAAATTCATTAGATTTATCTGTCTTAAATACCCGCATTTTTAGACATTTGACTTGAAAACTATAGCAAACAAAATATGTCTGAAAGTTACCCAATTTTTGTATATTAATAATAATAATAAATGAGTTTATGGAATACAACAAATAATCTTTTTACAAAGGTAATTTAGAAAAAAAATACAGAATACATTGCCTAATATTGGCGCAAATCTAGCTTAAAGCTACACTACTGAAACAAAATAAGACAAAAAACAAAATAATAATAGTAATAAGTCTTCAAACAACAATAATCATAATAGTATCCCGTGTTAACACTAAATGGACTGGAAATAAATTAAAATTTCGAAAAGATATTAATTAATACTGGTCACTATAAAATTTGGTTACAGGTTACTATAAAATTTGCTTGACATATTTTTTCTACTTATATAAAGTTCAATTTCTATTCTAAAAAAGTTTGTTCAGATTTGTATTTAGCAAATATTTCTTATATTGTATTTTGAAACTTGAAAGAGAAAGATTAAGGAACTGGTTGGGAATTGAATTAAATTGTTTAACAGCATTGTATGAGAATGATCGTTGAAATAATGCACTACTATGAAGCGGCGTAGTTAATTTTTTTTAAATATCTTACATTTATATCATGAACAGAATGTCGGAAAATTAAGCGTTCTCTTATAGAATCAGGTGAACCTGGAGTATTTATAATTTTTAATAAAAAACTAGAAAAATGGAGAGTGCGACGCTCATTCATTTTAAGTCATTTAATTTCTTTATATAAATGAGATATATGATCAAACCTACGCAGACCATAGATAAATCTGTGGCACGCATTTTGCACCTTCTGAATCCGACCTCTACTTGCCTGATCTAAGCAAAACCCATAGACAATAATTGAAATTGGAAAGAATTAGGGATTCACACAATTTTTTTTTAGTGATCTGTTTAGTATGTGTCTGTTATTATACAAAACTTTTAGAGAACAAAATGGTTTTTACATAAGAATATTTAGATGATCTGTAAATCTAAGCTAAGAATCTAAAACTACACCGAGAGTTTTTGTACTTTCAACAAAATTCAATTTTGAATTATTAGCCATGATATTGAGATTAGCTTTCAATAAACTCAGTCTTAGATTTATTACCAAAAATCATTACATACGATTTTTCCGGATTAAGTTTTAAGTTGTGACCTAATGAGAGATTGTTCAAGGTGTTAATGTTAAAACAATAAACCTGAGTGTCATCCGCGAAGGCCTGAACTTTACAAAACTTTAAAGACGTAAGGATATCAGATGTATAAATTAAAAATAACAAGGGGCCCAATATTGATCCCTGAGGAACTCCCGATAGGATCTCCGCTTTGTATAAAAATGTGTCATTTGATAGAATCGATTGATACCTTCCTGTCAAATATGATTTTAAAAGCAAACATGCTTCCTTATTAAAGTCAGAGTACTGAAGTTTAGCTACCAACAATTCGTGATTAGTGGTATCAAAAGCTTTTGAAAAGTCTAGAAGTACCAAAACTGAACTCATATTTTTATCATTTGCTCTTAATATGTCATCGGGTACGTTTGTTAGAGCCACTGATTTTTTACGAAAACCACACTGAGTACCAGGAATAATATTGTTACTCATATAAAGGTCATAAATTTCTTCGTACAGCACTCTTTCAAATATCTCTGATAAAGCAGGAAGTATAATAATAATAATAATAATAATAATAATAATATTTATTTACTCTAAAATACAGGGAACATGAAACGAGTAAATAAATATAATATATCCATAGGAGGACAACGCCTGTGCATGGATCATATGTATGTTGAATTGGAAAATATAATAAAATAGAGAGAAACAAGAAATTATTGGTAAGAATGGTAGAGCAATTATTGTGTAATATTTGAGATTATTTTATTAATTTGATTTCTCCCAATCGTGTTAATAATTTTTTTAATTTTTTTTGAAGCCTAATGTATTGCGTAATTGTTTTAAATTATTTGGTAAATGTTCGTACAATTTTGGTGACATCGTTTCATTAGGGATTTGTTTGGTTTAGGAACATTTTTTGCGCGTAATTTATATCTGGTTTTATGATTATGTTTAATTATGTCGTGTTCACTAATAGTTTTGTGATAATGAGTGATGGTATGTAAGAAGTAAAGTTGTGTAGTATCATATACTTGTGCATCATTATATAAGTCATTAGTTGGGTATAATTTTGATTTGCCTAACATTGATTTTAAAATTCTTCTTTGAAGTACATCTAAATCGTTAAAGTATGTCGTGCATGCAGCACCCCACACTACTATACCATATGTTATGTGTGGCTCGACTAAAGCTTGATATATTATTCGTAGATAATATTCAGTTAATACACCGGTTAGAAATTTTATTTTATATGCTATGAATCTAATTTTCTTTAGTATGTGAGAAATATGTATATCCCATCTCAAGTGGGGATCTAGATAAATTCCGAAATATTTTGTATCATTAACTCTATTGATTTTTATATTTTTATCATTTACCTTAAACCGAAGGTGGTTATATTTTGGTAGATGATTAGATAGTGATGAAAATGGTAAAAAATGAGTTTTAGTAAAGTTAATTGTTAATTTTCGGTTATTAAACCACTGAATAATTTTGCAAAAGTCATTTTGGATAATATCTTTTAAGTCGTTCCAATCCTTACCTTTATAGAGTATAGCAGTATCGTCTGCAAAACTGACTATTTTACCAGTACTGTTAATATTGAATATATCGTTTAAATAAATATTGAATAACAGAGGACCCAAAATTGTACCTTGTGGAACACCACATTTAACAAACATTTCTTTACTATACGAGCTTAATAATTTTACTGATTGCGGTCTATTTGATAAATAATTTTCCATTAAAGTATACATCTTTCCACGAAAACCTATTCTTTCTAAGATTTCCAAAAGTATATTGTGGTTAACTGTGTCAAACGCTTTTTGTAAGTCCACAAATACGCATATCGATGGTACTTTTCCATCTATATTTTGGGTTATTTCATCTACTATACTTAATACCCCATCTGTTGTAGATTTGCCCGCTATAAAACCATATTGATTTGAATTTAGAATTTTGAATTTATTAAGAAAATTAATCATTTTATTAAGGAGTAATTTCTCAAAAACTTTAGCTAAACTTGATATAAGTGAAATAGGTCGATAGTTAGTGACGTCCGTATTATCATTAGATTTATATCTATAGGTATGATGATTGCTGTCTTGAAAGCTGATGGAAATACTTCGTTAAAACTTGATGGATTAGTTATTTTTAGTAATGGTTTTTCCTATGGAGATTTTCCACTTGCCGGGAAAGTAGCTTCTTTCAATGGAACAGTTTATAATATGTGTTATATACTTATCTATATACGGACTACAATATTTTAACATTAAGGGCGAAATATCATCTATCCCGGTTGCACTACTTTTTATGTTGTTTAAAATTTTGTTTATATTTGCTATTTCTGCTAATTTAAGGTTAAAGGTAAAGTTATTTTTAAATGCATTGTTTTTATAAAATTTTTTTCGGACAGTTAGATTTATTTTGTAGAAAAGCCCCTTGTGTATGTTTGATTACCATTGACCTGTATACCATCGCAAGGCTTACCGGAATAAAGCCATTTGAAGCGAATTTAATTGAATTTTTCAGTTTGACACCAGGCAACTAGATATTTAAAAGGATTTGTAAAATGATTTGGAAACGTCATGATCGAGTATTTTATGATATAGTGTTGGTATTGAAAAAAATTCTATACATACCTTGCTCGAGGAGGCCATTATTATCTCGATATATAAATGTGAATCTCTCTCCAGTGTGTCGGCATCACGTTTGAATCACAATTCGGCGAGACGTAGAAATTTGTGCACATATTAATTGATACCGGAGTAAGGTGGTAGTCATGGTCTTATACGTATCGAAACAACCAGCGCGAGAGAACGACTGTTTATTTTAGGAACAAAATGGAATGTTGGCTTGTACAAAAACTAAATGCTTTTTAGGAATACGGGCATAGGCATACATGACATCTCCCCTTTGTAAAAGAAGAATTCAAAAATCGATAACTCTATCCCTATATCTATGAACACTCATACAGGGTGGCCCAACTAAAAGGTCGCACCCCTGTTTGTGAGTCTCCTGGTATATTTCGGGAAAAGACGTCCAAGAAGAAATCAAAATTGACGTATCCGAGTACGTCTTTTCATACATAGCATACAATACAGGGTGATCTAAAAATAAAATATTGCGTTGCACTTTAGATTTTTAAATGGAAGCTCCCATTTTTTTAATTCTTCAGATTTTCCGTGAAGTTTGTAGTGAATTTTGTATAATAAAGTTTATACTTATCTTTAATCGATGTGAAGCTATTTGAGTTTATAAGCAAGTACTCGCGCAAATATGAGCCCTTTTGATTACATGTCGCGATATTGTTCTTAAGCTACTCTGCAGTTCATAAATCCCCATAAAGGTCACGAGCCGTGACATCCGGTGACCTTGGTGGTCAGTTGACATCACCAAATCGAGAAATTAAACGTCCCGAAAATATTGTTTTCAAAAGATTCATTGTTTCCCTAGCTGTGTGACAAGTTGATCCTCCTCCTGCTCCATGCCAAACACTGCATCCAACAGTAACTCGTCGAGGATGTAGTGGTCGTTCATCGATGACACGACGGATCTCTAATGCCCAGATCCGACAGTTCTGCTTATTAACAAATCCGTTCATATCGAAGTGGGCTTCATCGCTCATTAAATCAGTTGTCGGTGGAGATCGTTATTTTGGGTGTTAAGCTGCAATATTGCATGACTGTATCGTCGGTGACTTTCGTGGTCGCTACGCTGTAGTTTTTGTGTTAACTGAATGTTGTAAGGCCGCGAATACAAGTTTTTTTTTAAATAGTGCGTAACGACGTGCGATGAATACCCATTTCTTGAGAACGATGTCTAGTAGACGTCTCAGGGCGCTTCACTACACTTTCACGAGCTCTCTCGATATTTTGCGGAGTACGAAGAGTTCGAACACGGCCTGACCTTGGCAAGTCTTTAACTTCACTTGTTTGTTCAAATTTCCACACCAACTGACCAATGGTGTCGACACTGGGCACATTATTTCGATCGAAATCTTGTAGCAATCGACTCATTATTTAAGCAAAACGTTTTAACAATACGGACGCGCAATTTAAATCAGTCAGTTATGTATTGGCCACCCTGTATAATAATGGGCCACTTCTCAAGGTAGATATGTAATGTACTATTGCTCTTTCAGTTGCTCTAGGGGAGCATTTAATTTCTCATACCTTGTCGCATCCCGTATGCATGCGTTCGTACATTGTAAGGAAAACACGTCGTTTTGCTTCATTATATAAATGGAATTAGGGCGCCTTATCAAAACTGCTCTACAACGCCGTAGGGAGTGTTTACGTTTACCGACAATAGAGAAACGGCGACAAATAGTGCATACAAACACAGTTTTAAGATAGAGCGTTTCACAACGACAGCAGGCGTATAATCGTTAAATTCAAAGCTTTATTCAAAACGCTTGATAGCAAACGGCGATTTCATTAAAACGGGGTTTTAATTAAATAGAGTACGTGCTTGCTTTCAAATACTGGTACTCGTCAGATCAAAGATAGATACGATTCTGGTACAGTACAGCGCGAGGTTTCGTTTCTGAAGAAGATTTGCTTCAGGTTTAAATAAAATTCAGGGTCTCTGCGAAAATCTACAAAGATCTCTTCTTTTTTAAGCCCAAAATTATCATATTCCGGCATACTAAACGACAAACAATACGTAAAATGAAACAACGTAAAATACAAAGTGGCAATAAAAGGTAAAAAAGTTAATAAAACGCTTGTTAAAATTTAGATGAACAATAAATAGAGATGATGAAGAAATTATAAAAGAGATTGACTACCATAAAAATTATGCCAGGATGACAAAAAGTTCAGTTTCGGATAGTAGGAAACATTTCACACTTTTGACAAATTGTTCAATATCGATACATTTTATTTCAATTGTATAATTTTAGCCCATTTCTAGTTTTGGAAAGGCGAAGACGATTTGGGCACAAACGCTATTTGTTTCTGGTGTTGTAATTATGAGTATCTTTCTGAATTATATAATTCTGATAGTTTTACGTGTAACGTGTACGAGGCAAGCCTAGACGTATAAGCAAGGCAATGTCATGATATTCAATTTGATGAATTCATTCTTGCAACTACCTCAAATTTGATAAGTATCCAAATCTTTGTAAGCCAAAAACTCTAAGCATGTGTTTAAAATGATCCTATGCCAGAATGGCGTATGTCATCCTACTGTGAAAGTATGCATGGTAACTGGTAAGCAATGTGAGAATTTCTCGGATTACGTACCAGATAGATAGCTTTTGTCAAATTATAATATGCTCTTCCCAACTAAAAAAGAGTCAACACACACACCCAGAGGAACTTTACTGTTCTTGCGTTGACACCATTTGCGTCAACATTCCGTAGAGGAATAGTCATTGTCTGAGTTTTGTATCCATCTAAGGTTAACAGACAAGCAGTTCTGAATGTCCCTCCTGCATGCTGCTTTCTAAAGTGCTGTGAGTTGAATCGGCGAACCATAATAGTTTGCTACTGAGGCAATTTTGTATGTCATTGATGTATAACAAGAATAACAATGGTCCAAGTACAGATCCTTGAGGAATCCCATGTAAAATTGTGGTGACAGTAGATCTGCAACTTTTGTATTCACAATTTGCTGTCTTACAGATAAGTAAGATTTGAGAAGTTGCAAATTAGAAAGATTTAAAAAAGAAATCAAGACATTTATACAGCAACCGACGAACTGGATTCATCAACTTATAGACATTAAAAATCATTTGAAACTTAAAGCAATTTATGTATGTTTGACTGCATTTGAGGAGAAATATTCTAAGCACAATCAGTTTAATATCAAAAATTGTCTGAATCTTACACCTTCAGAAATTAAAATTTATACAGTTAATGACATTGTAATACCTGCATTATTTAACGTTGGTTTACTTACCCATATAAACCCAAGAGCAAGTTAGAACCTCTTCGAGTACTTTATGTTTATTATAAAATAATTTTGTGTACGTTATTCCAAGAAACATTATTATTATCAAGTACGGAATCATTATGGTTTTACTTACTGCTGGTGTTCTAGTCTGCTTATGCTTACCTGCAACAAAAAGAGAATAGCATTAAATGGGATGCTAATTGAAAAAAGGGATACGACGGATGATCCCCTAACCCACTAACTTATTTTTAATAATCTCTTGATAAACACTTGTCAAGTGGTGATCTAGCTTTTTAATAATCTCCAAAACGGTTAACAAGTTTTACAATTACTTAGTCACATTACTATAATTTTCGTGTCGTAAATGTTCTTTTAATAGAAATAGCCTGGAAATACTTCATATCAAAACACAGAATTCCAGTAGGCCTTTTCAATTCCTTTTGTTTTTTAAATTTTTTTATTCAAACCTAGCTTCAAAATCGGTTTCAAAAAGTCCGTCTAAGTCAACCGCACACAAAAAATTGTCTGGTGTACCACAGGGATCTGTGTTAGGACCCCCGTCATTTTAATTATACACGTATCTAGATTTTCTAGTCATTTAGGAGTAATGACTTGGATACAGCTAAGTAACTATACTAAGTGACATATAAATCCGAACACCCAGTTTAAATGGTTTTATTTTAATAAAAGTTGGTGAATGTATTTATCTTACTGTAAATAACAAGTGAAAAAATTTTCAGCCTTATCAGTTGGACATTCCGGTTTTTATACTGCTTTTTTTTTATTCACTAACGCTCTAAAAATGAATATTTCAGCCGCAGTAAAGAATCAACGTTGGCGGATTTTGGTTCTTGACATCCTTTACGATCGGTTACGATGTCTAGAGTACGGAGACCTGTACGATTTCGTCAACTTAGTGAGTTTGATAGGGGCCGTATAGTGGGACTTCGGGAAGCTGGACTTTCTTTTCGGGCAATTGTAGTTAGAGTGCAAAGAAGTGTAGACACTGTGGTTAGGTGTTGTCAGGCATGGCTTCGAGGAGGCCGTACGTAAAGAGCAAGGGGCACTGGACGCCGACGTAGAACAACAGACCGTGAAGATCGCCGCCTAAGATTATTGGCCTTAAGGGACCGTTTCTCGACTACCAGGTCCATTGCAAATGAATGGTTTGCAGAACACTGAAGACCTATTGGCATGCGAAGTGTTTACCAACGAATGAAAAGTTTTGGCTTGTTTTCATACCGGCCACACTGGTCCTCCCTTTAACTCGAGAACACCGACGTAATCGCCTTGAGTGGTGCAGACAACTCTGGGATCAGGAATGGAACAGTATTGTCTTTAGTGATGAGTCTCGATTTTGTTTAGGCATGCACGATGGTCGTGCCAGGGTTAGAAGGCGACGTGGTGAAAGGAGGAGTCCACAGTCTTTTGTTGAAAGACATGTTCATCACACTGTTGGAGTTATGGTTTGGGGTGCTATAGTATATGGTTCCAGGTCACCTTTAATCTTCATCAGAGGTAATATGAACGCGCAGCGTTATATCCACGAAGTTCTAGGACCCCATCTTTTACCCTATCTTGACACCCTGGCAGATCCAACTTTCCAACAAGATAATGCCCGACCACATGTTGCAAGAGTCACAATAGACTTCTTTCAACATAATGATGTCACATTGTTACCATGGCCACCAAGATCTCCCGACTTATCCCCAATTGAGCCCGTGTGGGATATGATGGGTAGGAGATTGCTCCATTTGCAACGTCCTCCTCAGACTATAGAAGCACTTCGAGAGGAGTTGGTGGTTGCCTGGAATGAGATACCACAGGAGGACATTGACCACCTGATCAGAAGCATGCCTAGGCGCGTTGGAGAATGCGTAGCACATCAGGATGCATCCACACATTATTAAAGGTCAAAGGGCTTTAAAGCAGTGCAATCATTTTGAAATTTTTATCATTTACTTATTATGCTTCATTAAGTACTTACAAAATTTTATTAAAATGAAACCATTTAAACTGGGTGTTCGGATTTATATGTCACTTAGTATATTTTGCGTGTCATGGTAGAGTGCTGCCGTCAGCAAAGCTGTGGTCGTATTGAACCTGCAGGAAAGGAGTTACGTTGAAATTAAGAGCAGAACCCGTCAACTATTACAAAGATTTTGACATAGATCAGCGCTCCACATTTTCCTTTGTGGAAGATTCGCTCAAACGTTCCGTTTCCACTGACTGGTTGCATCATGGAACAGCACCGACGGTTTTTTTCCCTGTAACGGAAAGCTCTCCAATTATTAGACGGCTTATTAGTTCGAGAGGTCTCTTCCGGTGCCTGTTTCCATCTCTCTCTTTTCCTCTCTATCCGTCTCTGTCGATCGTGCGGAAATTGGAGGAAACATTTAGGAAAATGCAGCCCGGCGAGCGACGTATACGTGCCGCTCGAAGACGATAGACTCATAGTTATACCAGTAGCGGGGCTTGTATAAGAAAGTATCGCATCTCCAATCTCAGTTGAAGCCAACGAAAATATTGTAGAATCCTGTATAAATAGTACTACATACCTATAAACATTATAATGAATTAAATAATAACAAAAAGTTCATAAATATAAATAAATAAAATAAATTATATTAACATTCACACGACCCCTACAAAAATTTTCCGAAAATGATCAAAAGCCTCTAAAACTCAAAAAAAAAACGAAGTTTAAGCGATATGAAAATTACAATAAATACAATAATAACAAATATATAAATATAAATAAATAATATTTACATACACACAACCCGCAAGTTTCAACCCCTACAAAAAAATCCAAAAATGATCAGAAGCCCCTAAAACCTGAACGAATGAAGTTTAAGCGTTAGATAGTACATAAAAATAAAAGGCAAACCGATGTTAGCGACTTTGCCTACGGATGTTGGCGATGTTGTAGATATGACTATACAAATAAAAGTTTTGTAGTATGATATATCTCAATCTGCCTACGAAATGACGGTGACCGACGCCGCTGTTTGGAAAAGACGGATCACTTTACAGATAAAACGAAAATGAAGTAACCTGTTTGATGTGAGCTATTTTGCTCAGACGAAACAAGATCAAGGTATTTTACTAGCTGCGTACTGCGAAATGTCGCAGGCAGATGTTCCGAACACGCTATCTACAATCCGATACGTGCAATGGCTTTTGTGTTGATTGAAATCGGTACCTGAGATTGGATCCATCTAATGGCCTGAGCAATTCCAAGTTTCGCGGTGCATTAAAAAAATTAACCTAGGATATAGTAGTGATTTTTTGAATCATTCAGACGAAATAAGAAGATACTTAAAGATGCTTTTGCAAATAAAATAAATTAGCCAGCAAAAAGCATGAAATGAATTAATGATTATTAAAAATCTTGTATACTTTTGTTAATTTAAATGAAATTGCACATGTCTAAATTCCCTTACCAGCTACATAATTGTAATATGTTTCTGTGGTAACTAAAAAGAAGTGGGAAAAAGAAATATGATAGTTCTGCGGTAAATGTTATTGTCACATTTAGGAGTATTGCTTCGTACTGGATGGGCGAAATTTGGATGGAAACATTACAAGGTATGAAAGGTTTTTATGTCTTTCTATCCAGGGTTGGTTTGAAAATTGTCTGTCAAACCGGATAACAAGTTTTACATCGTAATTGATACTCCGCGAGTGTATTCCGAATTTCGCCGTTGTCCTCGATGTTTCCATTAGAGTTGCACAAGCTTGTTTATATCGTACAAAAGCCTTAAACGTTGCAAGTATAGGAAGGAGTATGCAAACTCGTGTTTTTCAATCGACAACTTCAAGCAGTGTTTACAAACAAAACATGTGATGGGGCAGTACTTGAATTTCCTCACCAAATGAATATAGTATTTTTCTTCAATTTCTTGTTTTACGTTTTCAGAGCTGTTTAGCTGCTAACTGGCTATGTTATTTCAAACTTAGTTGTTTTTGGAAAGGCAAGTCCCAACTTAACCGATTATTTGTTGTTCAAATCGCTGCCGATTTTAGGCATAGTTGAAAATGTTCCAGGACGAAAAATGAGTATAACTTGAAAAAGAAAAAGCTAATATTTCAGAGATACAAATCGCCGTCGTCCTCGATGTTTCCATTAGAGTCGCGCACGTTTGTTTATATCATACAAAAGTCTTAAATGTTGCAAATATAGGAAGGAGTAAGCAAACTCGTGTTTTTGAATCGAACAGCGACAACTTCAAGCAGTGTTTACAAACAAAACATGTGATGGGGCAGTACTTGAATTTGCTCACCAAATGAATATAGTATTTTTCTTCGATTTCTTGTTTCGCGTTTTCAATGCTGTTTTACTGCTAACCTATTTTTTGCTCAAATCGCTGCCGATTTTAGGAATAGTCGAAAATGTTCCAGGACGAATAATGAGTATAATTTGAAAAAGAAAAAGCTAATATTTCAGAGATACAAATCGCAGTCGTCCTCGATGTTTCCATTAGAGTCGCGCACGTTTGTTTATATCATACAAAAGCCCTAAAAGTTGCAAATATAGGAAGGAGTAAGCAAACTCGTGTTTTTGAATCAAACAGCGACAACTTCAAGCAGTGTTTACAAACAAAACATGTGATAGGGCAGTACTTGAATTTCCTCACCAAATGAATATAGTATTTTTCTTCAATTTCTTGTTTTACGTTTTCAATGCTGTTTTACTGCTAACTAGTTTTGTTATTTCAAACTTAGTTGTTTTTGGAAAGGCAAGTACCAACTTAACCGATTATTTGTTGTTCAAATCGCTACCGATTTTAAGCATAGTTGAAAATGTTCCAGGACGAATAATGAGTATAACTTGAAAAAGAAAAAGCTAATATTTCAGAGATACACATCGCCGTCGTCCTCGATGTTTCCATTAGAGTCGCGCACGTTTGTTTATATCATACAAAAGCCCTAAAAGTTGCAAATATAGGAAGGAGTAAGCAAACTCGTGTTTTTGAATCGAACAGCGATAACTTCAAGCAGTGTTTACAAACAAAACATGTGATGGGGCAGTACTTGAATTTCCTCATCAAATGAATATAGTATTTTTCTTCAATATCTTGTTTCACGTTTTCAGAGCTGTTTTACTGCTAACTGGCTTTATTATTTCCAACTTAGTTGTTTTAGGAAAGGCAAGTCCCAACTTAACTGATTATTTGTTGTTCAAATCGCTGCCGATTTTAGGCATAGTTGAAAATGTTCCAGGACGAAAAATGAGTATAACTTGAAAAAGAAAAAGCTAATATTTCAGAGATACACATCGCCGTCGTCCTCGATGTTTCCATTAGAGTCGCGCACGTTTGTTTATATCATACAAAAGCCCTAAAAGTTGCAGATATAGGAAGGAGTAAGCAAACTCGTGTTTTTGAATCAAACAGCGACAACTTTAAGCAGTGTTTACAAACAAAACATTTGATGGGGCAGTACTTGAATTTCCTCATCAAATGAATATAGTATTTTTCTTCAATATCTTGTTTCACGTTTTCAGTGCTGTTTTACTGCTAACTGGCTTTATTATTTCCAACTTAGTTGTTTTTGGAAAGACAAGTCCCAACTTAACTGATTATTTGTTGTTCAAATCGCTGCCGATTTTAGGCATAGTTGAAAATGTTCCAGGACGAAAAATGAGTATAACTTGAAAAAGAAAAAGCTAATATTTCAGAGATACACATCGCCGTCGTCCTCGATGTTTCCATTAGAGTCGCGCACGTTTGTTTATATCATACAAAAGCCCTAAAAGTTGCAGATATAGGAAGGAGTAAGCAAACTCGTGTTTTTGAATCAAACAGCGACAACTTTAAGCAGTGTTTACAAACAAAACATTTGATGGGGCAGTACTTGAATTTCCTCATCAAATGAATATAGTATTTTTCTTCAATATCTTGTTTCACGTTTTCAGTGCTGTTTTACTGCTAACTGGCTTTATTATTTCCAACTTAGTTGTTTTTGGAAAGGCAAGTCCCAACTTAACTGATTATTTGTTGTTCAAATCGCTGCCGATTTTAGGCATAGTTGAAAATGTTCCAGGACGAAAAATGAGTATAACTTGAAAAAGAAAAAGCTAATATTCCAGAGATACACATCGCCGTCGTCCTCGATGTTTCCATTAGAGTCGCGCACGTTTGTTTATATCATACAAAAGCCCTAAAAGTTGCAGGTATAGGAAGGAGTAAGCAAACTCGTGTTTTTGAATCAAACAGCGACAACTTTAAGCAGTGTTTACAAACAAAACATTTGATGGGGCAGTACTTGAATTTCCTCATCAAATGAATATAGTATTTTTCTTCAATATCTTGTTTCACGTTTTCTGTGCTGTTTTACTGCTAACGAGCTTTATTATTTCAAATTTAGTTGTTTTTGAGAAGGAAATTCCCAACATACCAACCTATTCTTGTTGTTCAAATCGCTGCCGACTTTAGGCATAGTTGAAAATGTTCCAGGACGAAAAATGAGTATAACTTGAAAAAGAAAAGGCTAATATTTGAGAGACACAAATCGCCGTCGTCCTCGATGTTTCCATTAGAGTCGCGCACGTTTGTTTATATCATACAAAAGTCTTAAATGTTGCAAATATAGGAAGGAGTAAGCAAACTCGTGTTTTTGAATCGAACAGCGACAACTTCAAGCAGTGTTTACAAACAAAACATGTGATGGGGCAGTACTTGAATTTGCTCACCAAATGAATATAGTATTTTTCTTCGATTTCTTGTTTCGCGTTTTCAATGCTGTTTTATTGCTAACCTATTTTTTGTTCAAATCGCTGCCGACTTTAGGCATAGTTGAAAATGTTCCAGGACGAAAAATGAGTATAACTTGAAAAAGAAAAGGCTAATATTTGAGAGACACAAATCGCCGTCGTCCTCGATGTTTCCATTAGAGTCGCGCACGTTTGTTTATATCATACAAAAGTCTTAAATGTTGCAAATATAGGAAGGAGTAAGCAAACTCGTGTTTTTGAATCGAACAGCGACAACTTCAAGCAGTGTTTACAAACAAAACATGTGATGGGGCAGTACTTGAATTTCCTCACAGAATGAATATAGTATTTTTCTTCAATTTCTTGTTTCACGTTTTCAGTGCTGTTCTACTGTTAACTGGGTTTGTTATTTCAAACTTAGTTGTTTTTGGAAAGGCAAGTACCAACTTAACTGATTATTTGTTGTTCAAATCGCTACCGATTTTAAGCTAATATTTCAGAGATACAAATCGCCGTCGTCCTCGATGTTTCCATTAGAGTTGCGCAAGTTTGTTTATGTCGTACATAAGACTTAAATGTTTTAAATATAGGAAGGAGTAAGCAAACTCGTATTTTTGAATCAAACAGCGACAACTTCAAGCAGTGTTTACAATCAAAACATGTGATGGGGCAGTACTTGAATTTCCTCACAAAAGGAATATAGTATCTTTCTTCAATTTCTTGTTTCACGTTTACTGTTTTACTGCTAACTAGCTTTGTTATTTCAAACTTTTGTTTTTGGAAAGTGAAGATGAGTACCATCTGAGAAAGAAAAATCTAATATTTGAGAGATACGTATTCGTCGTAAGCTGACTTTTATTTTTCGCGAAACCACTCCTTTTATGTATATGAGAAGAAGAATTCAAGGTAGCAAAGGTGGCATTCAGGGGAGAGGGGGGGGGTTGATAAACGACGCAGCGAATCAGATGATGTATCATCCGCAAGGGGGCGCTGCAAGAGCGAGCGGTGTGACGTCTGCAGGTAAGCTAAGCGGACTTGGGGGAACGATTTAGGGCACGCTAGCTCCCGATTTAGGGCGAAAACGGCACGGTAGCTCTCACTTCCCGTTCTAGATGTGTGCAGAAGGATAATAAATGGTGACACATACACCAGAAATCGGATATCGTCGGAAAAAATGCGCGCCGAGGCGTATGGAGCGCGAAACTCTTCCATTTGGAAGATTGCGATATTAGGGGAGGATCACACCTTGGGGGGAATACGCGGTGCGTGAAAGGTGAAAATTTTTGTTAAGAGGTGTTTGAATATACGCAGTATGTTGGAACATTACACGAGCGGTGTATCATGACGAGGAGGAACTGTACACATTTATTCATGTTTACGGGATATACTTAATGTTTTATTTCCTGCTATCTATTGACGCAGCTATAGATTTGCCCAGCGGCCATGTTGACATTTTCATCTGTCAATTTTACTCTAAAATATGGTATCCGTGCATCAATTTTATTACCTCAAGTACTGCACTGTATGAGGACATTTTTGAAAGATTGATACTTCGTAATGTGATTTAGAACAAAATAACGTTCTGAACAGGATCGATAATAAAAAAAATTGTGTTGTCCAGAAAGGTCTATTTATATTTAGTTTTTGAACGGGTCAAGTTAGAGAGCTGACATTGGGGTTGATGAAATTGATGCATTGATATCATGTAATATATATTTTGACGTAAAAGTGATAGATTAAAATTTCTAGATGCTGACTGGGCGCTATTTTGGAATATTTCTTAAACTATCGTTTAAAATGGCAGACTGGAAGGCTATCAATCATCAAAACGCTACATTACATTATATCAATCATTTCTTGGACGGGATTTGACGATTGGTTGATGAGGTATAAGCTAATTAATTTACAAAAACCATCAGCTTTGATAGCCTGCCAGTTTATCATTTTATAAGGTGGTGCAGTTTTATAATGTACTCATAAGCAGTTTCAAAATAAAGTATGTCTAGAGCCTCCCTCCCATTTAAAAAATTGTTCCCCAGTGGTGTTCAGACGCTATCTTAAAATTTGAACCTGCCGCTTTTACGCTAAAATATAGTATTTTATAGTATTTCGGGGATCAATTCCATTACTCAATCTTGCTAACTTCAAGAAATAAATAGGGAAAATCTTTTTGAGAAACACTGTATATAAATGGCCGTAGTCTAAAACACCGATTTTTTTAATTCCATAGTTGATCTTTGTATGCTTTTCAAGTGCGGCAATGTGTTTTACCGATCTTGATTAGAGATTAGTTCCGAGATTTTCAAGAAATTTGAGATCTGACCGAAAGCACGGGACCAAAAAATCTTGTCCAGGTTCATTTTACTTTTGAGACTAAGTATAAATAAACTTCTCAATAAAATTTAAATTATATTTAAAACGCCGAGCCAGTTACTAGTTTATTGAAGACATCTATATGTGCATTATGCACTACGTTGAGCCAAGGACTTTTGTCACCTTCATGGCACGGAGCGAGGATGAAGATCAGCTTGGCACTATATTTCGAAGGAGTTCTATGGCTTAAACGAATTTTAAACACTGTCAATTGCCATATGCTTTATGTTCTTCTTGAGGCAGTAGTTGACTAGCTAAAAGAGTTCTCTTGCTGCAAAAATATGCGATTAGAATCATCGTTAACCTCGGTTGACGCCAATATTGCACGTACTCTTTTAGAGGACTAAAGTTAATGTCTGTAATTATATTTACGTGTTTGCTGTTTGTTTTAAAAATTACCGTTAATTTGCAATGCTCTTAATCCCGTCTAGGCATATGAAAAAACATCAAGCCATATGTAATTTATTTTATAAGCTGTCAATTAAGTATGCACCATAAATTTAACAAAAGATTATTTGAGTAATTTTAAGACGATATATTCATGTTGTATGCAAGCTGTATTGCTCCGAGATTTGCATTTAAGAATAGCTTTAGGTTTTATAAGTCGAACATTATTTACAGACGAAGCTTCTTTTTACACAATAATCACTTTTGGGCAGAAACCAATCCACGGGCTTTAATACAATCAGAACCTAATTTTGAAGAACAGTTTTCTTCTAATATTTGCGTTGGAAGTGTCGGTGATCATCTCGTTATTCTACTCTCTCGTTTCCAAGGGTGACACCGAAGTCAATCCACTAGACTATATATTTTTACGTTGTCGTATCAGACCTCACAACAATGTTCAAACAGCAATACACGAACATCGGAAACTGTTTCGCTGCGATACGACAGCTGCGAGCCGAAAACAATAAATACAATTTTCTGTAAGCGACCAACCGTGGATGTAAGTACGCAAACATTTTAGTAATCCATTGAGTTTTCAGTGAAAAGACGAAAATCGGGAAGCGCCGGAAGCACCAGAGCAGGTTCTACGAGTTTATGAATGATCGCGGGGGTACCGTTCAGCAGCTTCAGGCATGTTCCGGGAGAATGTTAAGGATTGAGGGCACATATGCTATACTCGTACAAACTTGTTCGGAGGTATTTTGCGGTGAAGGGATTTACGGTTTTCATGGTGTATATGTTTGATGTTCAAAGAAAGATATAGTCCGATGTTCACGCATCACTGCCTACAGTATAAATTTATGGGAGTCGTCACTGGATGGCATGCCATCCCATCGGGTATACCACAAGGCTCCATTTGAGGTCCCCTGATTTTTAGTATTTATACCTCCAATATTTCCCAATGTCTCCGAAATTGTATGCTGACGATACTCAGCTTTATTTTTCTTTCAATCCTAACGAGGAAGGTGATGCTTTATCCTTCGGGATGTTAAAAGATTAGTTGTTTTTTCGGAAAATCATGAACTACATATTAATGCTAGAAAATTACATCTTATGTTAATTGGCAGATTCAAAAATAATATTGAACCCACAAACAAGAAAAAATATTATATATACCATTTTTCTGGTAAAATTAAAGTAACAAAGTTATAGCCCTTTGGAAGTTTGAGTACCGCCCTGTCTCAATAATAATATTATGTGCTCGTGTTTGGCAACAACGGATATAATCCGCCTTATCGGTTCATCGTATCGGAAACAAAAAGCGAAAGCATTTGAAACGCTTTCACGATGTTTTTACTACAATTTTATTCAGTTGTATACAGTCAGTGTCAGTCGGTAACGCGTGAGTGAATAGTGGTGTCTGTTGCGTGGCGCAAACGAAATAAAAAATGGCACATGTTTATGCGGATCGGTTTCCCAATCGAGTGTAACCAACCCCTCGTGCCTTTGTTAATGTAGTACAACGGGCTCGTGAATCAGGTGACTTAAGACCTCACAGGGGACGGCATGCCGGTGCTCCAAGACCTCACGATCAAATACAGGTCCGCACTGAAATACTTGTCGGGAGGATACTTTATAAAACAAGGTAACATTTTTTTTCAATTTTTTTTCATTTTTACACACATATTTTGGTTTATCTTCCTTCTACAATCATTATCTGAAAATTAATGACTCAACTTCAAAGTCACCCTGTATATATATATGTCCAGCTTTGGGTATGAAGTAGACGAGGGACGCTCGGTAAACCTCCACCCAAAATAACTAAAATGCTGAATTAACTTGTCTTGGAAAAATTGTGTAGTTCCTATGAGTGTAAGAATGTGTGATATTGATACAACCTTGAAAAGATGGGTTATGTGACTTTATATTAAAAATGTGAGTGAGAAGATGTATTCCAATTTTGTGAAGATGTTGGTTCAATTTGGATATGTAGCCGTTATAGCTTTTCGCGATTCAACAGGTAGGAATAAATGACACTGAGCTGCTTGACATCAGCCTTTTTATTCATGCAATGAGTTATCCTGCCTTTCAGCGACCTAGAAGTTTGGCCTATATAAACTTCACACAAAAGTGACGCCAGATTACATCCAGAGAGATGTGTTTTGGCATCGCATATTAACAACACAGGTCACTCCATGAATTATGGCAGTGTTGAGGTTCATGATAAAGAAAAAAGACTCTCAAAACGTTTATTTTTAGAAATGTCCCACATTTTCATGACAGATCATTGCATGAATAAAAAGGCTGATGCCAAGCAGCTCAGTGTCATTTATTCCTACCTGTTATATATATATATATATATATATATATATATATATAGGTGAAAAATTAAAGCTTCCGCCTTTTGTTGGGTACTTCGACAAAATTTAAGCAAAGATGACTCTTTATACTTTTTTTAATTCTCTCTAGCTTTCAATGAACTTTGCCATCATCATCAGGAGCTGCAATTACAATGATAAGAGTAGCAACAAAAGTTTAAAATGAATTTAAATTGAATCAACTTACAGTAGTATGTGAGGATGTTGCTAATTGTTGTTTTCGTATAGTCGCATCAACGACTGTAGTAATCACTCAATTTTTGCATATAATTCAATATCAACGTATGACCTTTAAATGATGGATGAGTTCGGCTCATAGGTTACAGCTATACGAATCCAGCAAACTAGTAACTTTGTTCGGCCAACTGCGCCTCCCCCCCCCCTTCCCCCTGAACTTCCTCCCTCCTTTCATCACATCACTTCCGTTTCCCGGTCAGGTACAAGGAATGCCTTTTAGCTACCCGATGAATATTCCCCGCCTACCGCATTTATGCGCTGTCCGCCGTTCAGGAACTTTTAATTTCAACCACAACGATGGTTCATCGGTTATTCTCAATGAATTCGAATATGTTAGAAGTAGCTAAGCCGGTTTGCTTCCATGGCGGTGCATGTCGCCAAAATTACATGGTTTTGGTGGGTACCAAAGTGACAAACCTCGACGAACATCTTTTTTTGGAAAGGATATTTAAGTACACCATCATTGTGAATCGATCAGTTATCCAATAGTGACCTGGGAGTTGACCTTATCAATGATTTTCAAGGTCATTTAAAGGAAAAGTCGAGTTTTTTATTGGAACGAATTCTTAACCCCGTATATAAAAAGAGCGGAAAATTTTACGTTTAAATATGATCTTGATCATTCGCAATATTTGACCCTAGAGATCCTGGTCAAGGTCAAATCCAGGTAGGGTGAGATAACTTGAAAACAAGTAGCCGTATAGGGAAACTACAGAGACGTTATTTTCATGATCTTTCCAAATATAAAATAGTGATCTTGGATCTGACTTCATCATGACTTTCAAGGTCATGCGACGATCAAGTCGATTATTATTATTATTCAAAATTTTAAGTGAAGATCAATATGGATTTACAGAAGGGAAGGCTACATCGGACGCAATAACTAAAATTGTAAATCAAATACATCAAAATATTGATAACAGAATCCATTCAATCTGCATTTTTGTTGATTTAAAGAAAGCTTTCGACACAGTTAATCACAAATTATTATTAGAAGCATTGGAGAGAATTGGTTTCAGAGGAAACGCGTACTCACTGATCGAAAGTTATTTGTCAAATCGCCCACAATCTGTGCAGATATCAGGATCATTTAGTAAAGAAATGTATATTAAGTGTGGTGTCCCACAAGGAACTGTCTTAGGTCCGCTGTTATTCAATATATATTTAAATGATATTTTCCAAATTAATTGTGTTGGCAAAATAACTAGTTTTGCAGATGATACTGCAATATTATATGAAGGCACTGACTGGTCTGATCTAAAAAATATAATTGAAAATGATTTTATCAAAATTATTCGGTGGTTTAACAGTAGAAAATTAAGCATTAACTACTCTAAAACACATTTTTTACCATTTGGATCTTATGCTAGACATCTGCCAAATTACACAAATTTCTCCTTCAATATTAATGATCAAAAAATGCAAATTAATAGAGTGCCCAACATAAAATACCTTGGAGTGGTCTTGGATCCTCACTTACGATGGGACATCCATGTCAATTATATTTTAAAGAAAGTTAGATTTGTATCCTACAAAATTAAATACCTTGGGAATATATTGACAGAAAAATATCTTCGAACATTATACCATGCACTGATTGAGCCTCATCTCACATATGGTATATTAGCATGGGGAGCTGCATGTTCCTCACATATCTATAATTTAGATGTTTTTCAAAAAAGTATTCTAATCTATAATGCAGCGATCATATCTCTATTTAGCGCCTAAATTTTATGAAATTACACCTAAAGACTTAAAAGATTTACGTTTCGGAAATTGTTTCAAAAGAAATTTAAAAAAGTGGCTACATTCTATATCTAGGACTGAAGTTCATAAACTCATAAATACGAACATCAACTAAATACATAATCTACTGTAACTAATTTTTGTCCTTTTTTGTCATTTGCATTCTACAGTTTCAACTTAAATTTATTGGTCCATGTGCCTTCTATTGTGCCTGTTTTGATTTTATATTTATTTACTCATATTGTTTGTTATCTTTGTACATTGAGTGAATAAATATTATTATATAGCTAGGGAAAAATCCTGCAAGAACAGAGAATTCAGTTTATCTCGGGATTACAATGAATTATCAAGAAACTAAGGTAAACTTGTGTTTGATCTTGACGGTCAAGTTCCAAAAATGCTCAAGGACATATGCGAACATAAAATTGTCTCTTTTCTCCATTCCGCAGTCAAAAGTTTAGGGTCTCATTCAAAAAGGAAGTTACGTTCAACAGATCTTGAAGGTCATAGACAAGGTCAATTCCAAGGACGCCATTGGATATCTGGGGTAAATTATGCAAATAAAGTAGTCTAGTCTAGTTTCCCTATACGGCTATTGCTTTTCAAGTTATATCACCGTACATCAGTTTGACCTTGAGCATGACCTCCTAGGGACAAAATTTAGGAATGGTCGACCACATTTGAACATAAAATCTTCCGCTCTTTTCACTTACGGTGTCCAAAATGGGGATTGCATTAAAAACATTGACTTGGCCTTCAAATGACCTTGAATGTCGTGGTTAAGGTCAAATCCAAGGCCACCATCGGATAGATGAGTAAAACTCATATCAAACGCTTAGCTTAGCTGTTTCCTACCATTGTTATTTCAGAAATCATCGTGGGATTCCTGAACTTTTCAGACATCATGTATAACAACACACCCCCTCCCCAACCCCAAGGTCTACTACGTTTTTTTTGTATAATACAGGAATGCTATTATACATTTGCGCCCCCACCCTCGCGCTTCTCAATTTTCATGAGGACATTCCCGCTATTTAAAACATGTATAGACATCTAAAAACTTTTAGATCTAAAATGAAAGTAGATAAAACTCAAAGTTGAAGTTTCGATTAGCCTTCTCGACGTTATGCTAACAAACTTTAGATTGACAATGAGCACACAAAGAAACAAAAAGCCCAAAAATCAATAAAAATGGCCTCACTACTGTCCTGATA